AGACGGCAAGAAGGGCGACGAGGAGGAGGAGCAGGCAGAGGAGGAGGAGGAGGAGGAGGAGGCCGAAAGTGAGGCTGGCCCAAGTGACGAGCCGCCTGGCAGGGACCGAGCTCCTCGGAGGGGGCGGCCTGTGCGAGCCCATGTCGACATGGCCCGTAGCCGAACGGCGCTGGCGTCTACGCCGACTCGTCTGCGCGCCTCGACGAGACGACCTGCTGGGCGCCAGTCGCGGCGTGGACGATCGGCACGAGCCCAGCTCGGCCGGAATGGTACAGTTGGCAACAGACGGCGTCTGGCCGAGGCTTCTGGCCCGAATGCCCCATCGGAGGGCGGACAGTCGACACAATCACTGCCGGCCCCGCCTGCCCGGCCAAGAGACGACCACGACAATCCGTAACGCCTGTCCGGTTGATGGGCGGCGTGGCTGCTAAAAATAGCGGCTAAATGTCGCCCAGAGACACGGCCAGCACCCTCGAGGGAACAGGACAAATGGGCCAATCAGATGCCCGCATTTCCAGCCAATAGGAGACGAGCCAAGCGCCAACACGAGACTGGCCCGTCTTTTGGTCTCGTCTCATCCACGATGACGAGAAACAGGACTGGCTTCGTCTCTCGGAGAATCGCTTCTTCAGTTTCACACGTCTTCACCTTTTCTCGTGGTGCTGACCTGTCGCATAACCACATGAGCAGGACGCATGCTTCTCTGCAAGTTCACATGGCACACCTACACAAAAGGTATCCTCATCCCGACAGGACTAGAGTGCCGATTGCCTCACCTCTCAACACGCCATTCCCTTTATCACCTTAAATACAATAAACTAAATAACCCTCAAATATATGATCTAATGGTAGTCTCAAAAGCCTACTTATATACCTAAACAAGTAGTACGCTCGATTGCTATAGCAAATACAACTTTGCTTCGTCGGCAATCCCAACCGAGAAGTATCAGATTGGAAAGGCCTGGCCTTCCTTGAAATGCCCATCTGGCCTGTGAGCTAAGGGCACTCGTGACAGCATGTGTCGAGATGATACGTTGCATTAGCACATTTCGAGTCCGGCTTGGGTCTGATGAGACCAGTTGAGGCGAGGTCGGAACTACAGCCCCATCTGGTCTGGGAGGCAAGTCTATTGTGAAGACAATTTAATTTTCACTTCTTCATCCCCTTCGACGAAATAGAATGTATACATTTGAGAAAAACTTGTATTTCCCCTTTCGATCGACTACTCTACTTATTTTTCGAATCAGTAATATGAGATGTATTCACCCAAATTCGTTTAAAGTGATGAAGGACTGGTAGAAGAACAATTTCCCACAATGATATGGGTGAATAGATCTCATATTACTCTACTTATATCCATTGGCAGTAGGTTTCGAGGCTATCACACAAGCTCGACTAGAAGTTGTAGTCCTCTGACGGCTGTGCTACAAGCTGGAACGTATTACTTTCTGCGAATGAGGTTGTCTGGAACTCTTATTCAATATTTGATCTCACTTACGTTTCAAGTACAACTGGGCGTGTGTGCTTGTGTGTTTGTGCGACGTTGAATTGAGTCGAAGCTCGATCCCACCAGAAGAGGACGCTCGGTGCCTCTTGACCAGACACCAATTGGCCCTTCTGGAACAGCCTTGCCGAGGCCGTCTCCGAGGCGGACCCCTTTCGAACCCGATGAGCATGTGCCAAGCCCTTGTGCCTCATAAGACGGACCTCGTCGGAGCAGGACAACAACCCTACAAGCATATTCAAGAAGACCCACCCACTCGTCCTCGCTGCATGCAGACACGAAGAGCAAGTGTTTCGGTGGATTCAAGTGATGCCTCAACCTCTACGCATGTTTACGCGCGTCTGTCTGTGCGCGTTTATGTGTCTACATGTGTTTGCATATGCACAAAATCAGTAGTTACTGCTCAATGTAATTACAACAAAACGGAATGGCATCAAGTTTTGATGATCATCACCATCCCTTTTTCTTTCCAATTCTTGCATAATTCCGACGTCGCAAGGTGGGACACACGGGTGGCTATGTTTTAGGATCTTTTTGTCTGCATGTGAAAGAGAAAGAATGGATTAAAATGTACAAAATTGACTCTCCTGCCTGGTGAGTCTATCAATCAACCTCTTTTCGGTAGTCCCGACTTGAAAACGCGCTGCCTAATCGGTTGATTTAGATGACTTCAAATGGTACGCTCAGCCGCAGTCATGCACAAATCACCAAAACATAAAGTCTCGTAGCATTCAACCTCATGTCCAGTTTCCGTCGAGTGCTCGGCTGGGTCTGAATCTTGAACAAAACAGCTTCTGCAGGCGGCTTTGTGTTGGGCCGCACTTTGTCGAATTGTACGACCAGTCCCTTCGGCATAAAACCGACCACATGAAGACGGTATGTTATATGAAATGTATTCACCCTATTTCATGTAAAGTAATTAAGGACTGGTAGTAGAATTTGCCACAATGTTATGAATTGAGCTGACGTTTCCATTGAATTTCACATGCCTTGCTTTCCCAAAAGTTGTTCTTATTTAGGCACCAGTGGACGAAAGCGTAGCATCTTTTTACCGGACTCGAGGAAGATTGCCTCGGAAACAGCGTCCGCATGAATCTTCCAGTAAAGCCAATCGACAGCTGGTCGAGAGGAATCCGCAGTCGTCTTTTGGTGGAACCGACCTTTGAATCTCTTGACTAACACTTTCACTCGAAATGGAAGAAAACTCAACAATTATGAAACAAGA